TTAGTCTATTATCACATTAGTTGGAGAGCTTTGCAAATGTGAGAATGCCTCTCGTTTCATAAAGTCTGCAAAGCTTTGTCAATTAGTAAAGATATTTCCATTAGGTGGAGATAACTAAAACAATTAAAAACTAATAGTAATATTCAAATCAGGAAGGCACATGTTTAAGATACAAATGAAAGTTTCGTGTCTCACTAGCCCTTGATCAGGACAGACAGCGATCTCCGTAAGTAATTCTTAAGTTTAATCCGCACTGGATAAATACGGAGCATCTACTCCCTCACCTGAGACATGAAAGAGTCGAATTTTCGGCTTCAAAGCAACCTAGTGAAGTATGGTTCCGCTCTAAGGACGATGCTTATGAAATGGAAATCGAGATAAACATCCAGAAAATGCCAGTGATTCTTTCATAATCAAGAAGATATCATTAGAATCAAATTCAAACCCGTTCGGTTGAAAAATTAATGGTCTTGTACGAGTTTGGCATACGCAGAAAATAAATATAAAGTCACGAAGATGGTAATCAAGTATAAGATTATATGAAGCCCAGATTTATATTGAGAAAAGACCTAGGATACTAGAATATGGGGCGAATTGGCTTACGATAGCGATCAAATTGACAACTATACAGACGGCAGCCGAAGTGCCAGTGAGCCAGCGTGCAGCCGTATAGTCCGACGGCTGAAGATGAGGCCTTCTGCAGGGTAGGCTGCATCTATCTAAGCCAGGTATCCTGAAGTAAAAGAGAGCAAAAAAAGGTTTTATACATAATTAAAAACAGGTATAAACATGAAGCAAGGCTCGACTTAATGGTATACATTCGTTTGCCCATCACAAAACTAACAATTGGGATACTCTCAAGGGATCGCAGAAGCGCAATATCGACAATAGCCGAGACAGAAATTTAGAAATAGAAATGCAAAAATGTTTCTGTCCTGTAGTCGACACGGTGATAAGCATAAAAAACGTGTTCAGTAAAGTGAAAAATTCACGAGACCAAATAAGCAAAGTAATTAGTTGTGGTGAGAGCAACATAGAGTCGAACAATTAGGAAAATAACGTAAGGCGTAAAATGATACTCTTTCCTAAAGCATTACAAATATATAATACTTTTACCACTCAGACCCAAAGTAATCATTTACTTAAGATAGCATTGCAGAAACAAATACTTTTGGTTGTAGTAATGTTGAGCTTTAGCAAAGCAAATTGAAATCTGTACAGATCTAAGCAATTATTGAAAAGAATGGATGGTAGGATGCTCAGATAATTTCTTTAAGGAAAGTGAATTGTACAAATAAATGAAACGAAAGGACCAGAAAGTAAGGACCTTCAATGACCTGTCTCGAGGGTTATATGCAGAACGAAGAGCTACAAATGTACCAACTAACTCAGTCTCGACATCACCTAAGTGATGAGCACCTGAAGCCAAGCTCACACCCTTGGATCAGATAAGCAAGAATAAGTGACTTTTAATGGGAAAAGGCAACTGCTAATTCAGATAAATGAGTTGTGTTCACTCTATTTCGTTCAGTTAGTTTATTTTTCCCACAATGATGTGAATAGAGCTGATGCTTTCCATTAAACTTCCCATAGCCTTGCCTGACACTCCCTGAAATGCACATCTGCCCTGTGATCAAATGGCACTCGTGGCAATGTGGCGTAGTGGTTACCGTGCTGAGCACTATCATGGTTCGACTCCCACTTGGGTTGTTAATAAGATCTATGCGAGCTCGAAACTGCAGCACAGTCTGGATGAGGACACCTTTTAAGAAAGCAAAGCTATGTGAAATTCAATGGAAATGTCAGCCCTACTCAATTACCAGTCCTTCTTCACCATACACAAAATAGGGTGAATACAATTCCTATAGTGATTTTTATCATTATCATCGACCAATCGACAAGTGGGGTAGGAGAAGTAGGGTGAAATGAAGGTCAGGAGCCCTGAAAACGGCACCTGATATCAGTGATGGAGATGATTGCGCTTCAGCAAACCCACTAGCAGCGACACACTCTTGTGCGGCATTTGAGGAAACGAGGTAGATGGGAAATATGAGGTGGTGATGAGAGAAAGAGATTCAGATGGTTAAAGGGAATGGCTTCAGACGAAACGTCCGATGCTGGAAACCACCAATACTATGGCAAAAGTGACCGGACTAGGTACATTCCACAAGGTCTCCCTGACGCTCCGAGCAAGTTGGGAAAAGGAGATCGAGCCAACACTATAAAGCTTATATAAAGCCCAGAAATTCACTGAGGCATATAATTAGTTGGATCACAAAAATAGTATTTAATAGCTAGGCACAAATGTTCAAGTAAATAAATATTAAGAATTCGCATCAGAAAATAATGCACAAGAATTAATTATCGCTTTCGTTATCCTAACGCAGAGTGATTAATGCATTCGAAAGATCTTGTGGCCGAACTGCACGGACATCGGCATAACAACTTGAGGTATTCAGAACGGAAACCGCCTCTTGAGTTATGTGCTAACCTCCATTGTATATGCGAAGGTCAACTATGCTTCTATGAATCTCTTGATACAACATTGCAGTGGAGACTTTCATTTAGAATGAAAGTGGCTTTACTATGACGCTTTTAGTGATTCAACTCTACAAATCCAGAGCAGGAGGCCCCGGAACGAAGAGAGAAAAGGAAAGATGGTATTACCAAGTGTGCTATTTAGAAACGGCTGAATACAATAGAAGGGCAATCATTGAAAGGCGGCGCGAAATAGAAACACCCGAGCCCCGCATGTCACAGCAGAGGGGTGAAAGGGGATGAAGAATAGGTAAACAACCTATTTGATGTACACTTGCATAGAGTACCATATGAACTTCTGATTGGGCGATGTGATACCAAGCTTTGATTGGTTGATGAATGAAGATTTGTCATATGCTCACGTGATATCTGTGTCTAAGGCTGCTGAGCCATTACTAGATTCGGGATGTGAAAAAACTAAACATCGAATGTGGAAAGTATAGGGATAGGTTCGAAGGTACATTTTTCAGCATGTCGCGTGGAAACGCCCCAAGCTTTCGTCGTCATCGTAAAAGATAACTCATTCTTGAAAAAGCTTCAAGTTAACGCCAATTCGAGAAGACTAGCCGGCTCTACCATACATGCTAAATAGTATCATAACTAAAAACTAAAATATGATTATAGATAGATCTTTATACAATAGTCAGGATACCTATATTCGAATGTATACG